TCCAGAGCATTCTGGGATCCAAGGGCATAGACATTCTGCAGGTGCATGACATTCATGAGTATCTCAGGAAGACCTTACTTTTAAACAACCCACAGCAAGCTGTTGTTAAATTGAACTTTCAAGCTTTGTATCATCATGATTTAGCTCGGATTATTTCTCTCAAAAGTCGCTTTGTGTCACTTTTGTCAGAAGAGTTCAGGAATAAGATTGAAACCTCTGAGGAAATTCAAGTCCCAGAGACTGCCTTTCTCAAATCTGAGAACTACATCACCTCACTGGTGAGTGACCTCACAGGAGTGGACCCAGAGGAACTAACCATGAACACACCACTTTCATCTTTGGGCATAGACTCTATGTTAGCTATGACAATTCAGAACCGTGTCTTTCAAGAGAGAAAGGTGGACATACCTGTTCTGAAATTGCTTGATCCTGACACAACTCTGTCAAGTTTAGTGGTAGTTTTAGAAGAAACAAGCAATGCAAATGGAACAGATGAAAAGAGWGCTGCTGTTGAAAGTGAAGAAAATGGGAGCTGGCTATAAAATCTTCCCAATCAGGAATTGTATAACTTTGACAATACTCAGACCCTTTGCAGCATCTCRGAATGTGTCATTGCAGGCAGGGTAAAACATCTGGTGATCCTGAATGTRTTCTTCTGCATTGASTCAGAAAACCCTGCACCAGGTTCCTCTGTTATTATTCTGCTAGCTGTGGTAATTTCTGTCAATTGTTTGACTTGTTACTGTTTGCACCTCTACATTATGAATATACATTTAAAGCAGCATAAGATTCTTTYGGCATTTTTGTATTCTTTTTKTATTTTTCTTTTTWAAAAATTATTTTCAAATAACTCAAGTATCAAGTATTTTGATTATGCAATCTGTATAAATACAAGGATCTTTTTGAAAGTCCTGTAGGTGTTGTAAATTTCAAGGTTTCTTCTCAAAAAATGAAACTTGATTTTTTTCCTTATGTGTTCAAATATATTAAAAATGCGCCCAGTGCAACTCACACAGTAAAGCAACTGGATTATTTTATTAATAACCATTTTATGAAGGCTGAAATAAATAAGAATATTACAAGAGTTTTAAAAGCAAAACAAAGTGTATCTTTGTCATATTTTATTTTTTTTGTCCCTCATTCACTCCCTTCTTTTAAATTTTCCTAATCCTAATATGTTCCCTTATTTTCTTTCAGTGAAACCTATTTCATACTTTTGAAAGCAGAGCCCACAGATGGAAAAATCTAATGATACTTATGCGATATGGATCCAATTCTAGAAGTTCCAGTATACTTTAAAACATATTGTGATTAAAAACCAGAGCATTGTATTCAGCTTCAAATCTTATTATGGTAAATAATTTTCATACTTGTAAGAAGGMATCTTCTATTATGACCTTAACAGCAAAACTCTACATCGAAGTCTAACACAGAATATAGTTCGCTATATTGCGTGCTGTCATTACCTGTGACTTTATGTACCCAACCTGAAATTCATTAGGAGATGGCAGTCTTATCTCCTGCTTTGATCACAGATTCTYTTCAGTTGGTCTCTTCAGGTCAGGCCAAATCATTCTAGGGAAGTCTGCAGTGACGACAGTAGTTTGTATTGCACAGAAGAAGCCATAAATTCCTTTGAGCAAGCAGGAGCCAGCATTTTAGATTAATCTTTTCCTACAGGATGTGTTAGTAGTTAATACTTAAATAGGATTTAATAATCCTATGGTATAAAATAAATTTAGCATTAACCCTTTTCTGCAAATGATATCTAAGAGATATCCTTCCAAATATTCTCATGAAATGATACACATTTTCCTAGAGACTCACTGTTAACATCCCTGGGATTCTGAAGAGAAATGATAGAGCAAGAATAGTACAATAAATGTCTGTAAAGTATTTGTTCTATACGGGGAAATGCTTGTGCTTGTTCTGGAGGTGTTAACTAATGACAGAGTTGGTTTAATTAAAAAAACAACAAAAAACAAAAGTACCTTTTCATATTTCCTGAGTTCAAAGTGGAGGGAAGCGTGTAAGGACTTCTCYGGAAATGTATAGAATGGTTTGAGTTGGAGGAGACCTTTAGATAGAACTAAAACTTATGACTGCTCTCCTGAAAAGCTATATTCTGTTCACAGTGTGGACAATATCTATCAGGCTGAACCAATCCTCTGCTCAGAAGACTGTTTTAAAAAAACAACTGGAATCAGAATATAAATATACCTTAACCAGGAGAAACTGGAGTCTCTTCAGGATTACTGAGGCTGATGCTGCCAGTGAAGTATATGGACAGTGTAGTCAGGATTTAAGTCTAGAACAAGGCTTAATCCAGGATTTAAGAGAAAACATTCCTTGTCGTATGGTAATCTGATGAAAGATAGTGAATATTTGCTGCCTTTCATGTTTCCTACTCTGAAATGGCAATAAAGTGTTTGCATAGCTCTTCATCTATGKGGCCCCAGTGCAAGCCTAAAAGTGCTGTTAATTACCCTGTCCCCCAGCTCTYCTCAGGTGTTCATCCTTTCTTCCTGGGAGCAGAGCAATAGGTTGCAGGAGACACACACCAGATGCAACATATTTGATCATGCAGATTCATTTCCCTTCCCTTCCCTTCCCTTCCCTTCCCTTCCCTTCCCTTCCCTTCCCTTCCCTTCCCTTCCCGTGGTCTGACAGTTCTGCATCTCCTCCTTGCACCAGCACTGTGCTGGGCACCTGTCAGCTGGACAGGAGGATAATGAGCTGCCGGCTCCGAGAAACACAGTTCCTGAAATTTTCAGCAATCAGCAGCCAGCTTGGTTTCCATTTCCCCCTTTATTCTTTCCATAAGGTTCATTTGCTGGTTTTAATTGCCATGCTTATTTGTTGCTGAAGCCTTGGCAGCACTTMATCTGAGGGCTCAAGTTTGCAGTAACAGTCATGACCACACCAGCCAGATGAAAAGTGAATACTGAAATGCTGGCTTGGGTTGGAAACGTCAAAACCAAGGAAGCAAAAACAAAATTGGAGCCTGACAGAGGCTTACAATGATGAAACCTCTAAGTGAAAGCAGTTACTCTGGACAGTGTACCCTGGAAGGTAGGAGAGATTTGTTTGAGAATTTTTATTTCTGTCCACTATATTGATCAAACTCAAAGAAAATATGCTAAGAGATAATCCAAAGCAGGGTGTATTTTCCCAAAATCTTTCGGGGCAAACACGTGTTTAGCCTAATCCTTGAAATATTCCAGCAATGACAATTCCACAGCACACTTAAGTAACCTGTTTGAGTGCTTCCTTACACTTAATGTAAAGAAAACTTCTCCTGATGCATTGCACCGCTTCTTGATACTTCCCTCTTTGCTGTATTTCTGTCTGTTCAAATGGAATATTTTTCTTCTATCTTTATATGGCTCTTCTGGAACTCTGAAGCTCTTTCTTTGGTTTCTTAAAACTTGGAAGCAACTTTGTTTCATATTTATCACTTMCTCATGACTCAGTTCCAAAATATGTTTCTGTTTCCCAAAATTATTTCACTGATGTACACTCATTATGAAACTATTCAGATTTCATATTTTTATAGCTGCTAATTGATATAAATATTCTGCTATATTAGTCACTCTGGACTGGAGTGAGCTGTCTGTGAATCACATTGATAAAATTAATACAGTAAAAATCATCATGTAAGAATTGACCTTGGCTGCTACACAGTCTGCACATGTTTACATTTTCCCCCAGTGATTTTTCTGATATTAGTTATAAATTCAGGGCTGGGTTAATGTTTTGGCAAAATATTCCAAGTTTCCCAATTTGGCCGACTAATGAGCACCAAAACCARATGTTCATTGCAACATTTCAAAGAAGTAGCAAATACACTTATTYCACAATGAGCAAAAGTGACAGAAATCAATATTTTTTTAATTGTACAGTAGGCAGAAGAAAAGAAAAAAAAAAAGAAAGAAAAGGTGGGAGAGAGCCTGTCTTCTTTTACCCAATGACAAGGTGAAATTTTTAGAATTTCCTCTTTTTCTGAAAAGCAATGCAAAAACACTCCCTTTGTCAATGTCTAAGAAAGAAAGAGAGACCACTGGTTCTCTTCCCTGCAGTCAGCTCACAAAGCAAAACAAGACATACATGGAAAACTTCTAAATATCCTACTTTTTGWTGGCCATGGAAATACTTGGAATTTGCTAATGGTGAGAACAGAATTCCAGTTTCAGATAGAAAGAGGRGTGCATCATGACCTTGGATGTGTGATTAATGGCTTTGATTCTTCTACTTTAAAGGAAAGGAGCTAAATCACTGCCAAGTTAAATGGAAAATAAGACTGAAAGACTGAAATCAGAGGACTTTCCACATCAGTTMATCAAGGAATGAACATGCTCCTGTCTGCTAGAGGCTGCTAGTCTGGCCCAGGGTGGAAACATAAATTTTTTTTCTCATCCTTCAGGCTTTGCAATGACTCTGTAAGCAACACTTTTAACCACTTACTACTTAAAATTTTCATCACATAAGCCTGTGGGCTGAGTATTCTTTTGGCTTCTTGTTATTGTCAGCAATCCTGCCATATTGTTAAGGGMTCTGCTGTTACTAAGCACTGTGCCAATACCTCTCAAAAGCTACAACACTCGGCTTTTCAAACACAGTGGTAAATTTTTAAGTAATGTTTTCTGTCATGCCAAAGTTACTTGGGGCCCTAAGCCAGAACTGCCTTAGAGATGTATGTTTGTGCTGGCAAAAACATTTATTCCTTGCTTCCTTCAGCCTCCCTTAGTGTCTGCCTCTGCTTCAACATACCAAAGGGCAAGAGACAAGGAAATACATCCTTGCAAAACTTACCGTTCATCCTTCTTTTAGTTTGCTGCTGAGTCACTTTGCATACAGGGGTAGTCAAGCGGCAAGAAGAGCGTTAGAAATACACACACATATCCATCTCAACCTGACAGGAACACTCAATTCTTTGTGAGATTTACAGTGAGAAGAGCAAATGTTTTGGGACAATGACTTCTGGCTTTTCCCTGCCTAGTTCCTGGTGCCTAAGTAATTTATTTACGGAGCAGATCTCTCAAAGCTGACAGATCCTGATTGCGCTAAGCTGGTGAAATAAATGCACTTTCCTGCCAGCTAAGGAGATGTTTTTCAGATATTCCAGCCTACTGGCAGGACAGTGTCTTTCGAGAATTGTTTCCCAAAGGCATTCCAGCCAATTTGGTGCAGGAACTTGCATGAGCTCCAGGTGGCAGCTGAGACAGGGCAAATCAGCACCATGGGAGCCACATGGTGAATGAATAGCCCCACAGAGCTGGCACCCCAGGACCAACACAGAGAGGTTCAGCTGGGTGTGGGGGGCATGCTGAGAACGGTACCCGGGGAAAGAGATCAGCCTCACTGGATTCAAAAGTGCCATAGTGCCTGAAGTCCCCCCAGGATCTCCTACTAGGAAAGCAAGGTACRTGGAGATTGTTAGCAAAGGTGCAAGAAGTGGGCTTCTGACACTGTCTCGAGCTATTTTCCAAGAGTAACTGGATCTGTTTTTCTTCACAGCTGTACATACTTCAGTGCAAGTTTATGCACGAACACTCACTTAGGAGTAAGAATTTCCTATCTTGACTTAATTAAAGTTACTTTAAAAAAATAAATCTCCTTAAATTAAGTCAAGCCTCTTATTTTTGTCCTCACATAGCTTTGTACCAGGATTTCTGGAAGTGTAAATTAGACCAGATGTAGTCAGTTCRGTACCAGCGTGTGATGAGGAAATGCTCCTGTGAACTGATCATCTGAGGATTTTGCAATACATTTCTTATCAGCAGTCACAAGCAGCAAAGCAAAGGCCTAAGCCACAGCAGCATGGTTGGACGACAGAATCCATAAACAGCTTGCCATGGTCTGTGATTAAAATAGAAAATGGCTTGTTTAACTTCAGGCACAAATCCCATCACAGAACTTGACCCAAATCCACAGGAGTTTTTCCTGGGATTAGGGAGAATTCAGTTTGGGCACCAGTCGTGGCAATGCCTGGCTTCTTGCCATTACAGATAATCAGAAAATAATTGTAGAAGTCAGATTGGTGATGCTTACAAAGTGYCCGTGAGGACACATCAAGAAAGGTATTC